AATGATACAAAAAAGTTGTTACAAAATTTCCTATTAAACAATGTCTACATAAAATTTGCTATGAAATTTACTACAGATGCTATAATTACGTAACCAAAATTTTGCTAAAAGAAATATGACTACAGAGTCTCATTAACGAATTGTGTAAAAAAATTTAGTAGTTATTAGATTTAGCTATAAAATTTCAATTTTTTCCAACATAATTTTTTGTAGCAAAATCAATTTCAAAATTTTCTTTTAGTGGAAAACGGTTTAGAATCGATTAATCAAATTCGTAGCACGACTGATACTTTGTGACATGATGTATTCGAGTTTGTGTATCTTCTACTCTATTTTAATTCAATTCGTTATTTAAGATATATATATATATATATATATATATATATATATATATATATATATATATATATATATATATATATATATATATATATATATATATATACCCTTAAGGGTATATAAGTTTAGGTACACAAACTTACTATATTATATCGTTTTGTATTATATATTTAAATTGTAATTATCTAATTGTTCTTATAATTCAACTTATAACTTAATTACTTCTAAGATTTTTATAAATTTCACATTTATCTTTCTCTTACATACTTTTCATTTTCAACTATAATATATATAGCCTAGTAGGTGTTCGGCAAAAAAAATATGATATAAGAGGAAGATAATAGTGAAATTTCAAATATCTTCAATGTAAATCAAGTTAGGGGTTGAAGTTTAAGAACATTATTATAAATATATCTAACAAAACTACTAATTATTGTGAGTTTGGGTACCTAAGCTTACAATCAATTTATGCATTACAAAAAGAGTAAAGTACATATGGTCAACAGTTGAAAATGTCAAATATCTTATCTTCTATTCTTAGGCTATTTTTGTGACATCCCCAAAATCACGGCCAGAAAAGACCGATTTCATTTATGTTTTTTAAAATAATTTCAGAGTAAATCCTTTTGATTTAAAAGTGTTGCGGAATTTGTTCCCAAAACAAAACATGATAAAATAATATTTATCAAAGCATTTCATCAAGAGATGCATTTTCATTATATAATTAAAACTCGGGGTGTCATGTTCCGATACAGACCATAAAGCATAAACGATAACATTACAAGTCATTCAACAAATATATACATATACAGACTTGTAAACAAAACAACTCGATGATTCATCCATCTTACGCCCTTGCGCCACTTCCTGTAATACAAATAAAACTGAGTGGGTCAGGCTTGGGAGCATGGTGAGCATATAGGGTTTTCAACCCACAATAAATAAATTATATTTAATTTCACCAACCAATCACTATCCCGATTACCCATTCCCGTTATCCTCACTTTACGTCCCTAAAACAACATCTATCTCAAGGGACCTAATCTAAGATTTTCATCGGGACGGACATTACTGTTAAGGGGTTTCCTCAACAATAGATATCCTAAAGCCAACCATGAGGGGGATAGAGTACACCGGTGAACACATTGTTCACAACACCTACAGGTTATGAACCTGCTAGCGTTCCACTAGACTGTCTAGAAGGAGTCTGTGGTCGTTATCCATACTCCGCTGAATAACTAGGTCAACAACAACAACAACATCGAGGCCTCTCATCTGTTTATTACACACCAACTATCTACCCATGTTCTACCCAACATATTAGTAGATAAATATATATTTTTATACATAGTTTAAAACCTCTATAGCATTTTCATTCAATACATATTTCACATAACAGATGAGGCATACCCACATAACACATATTTCATAGAAAACAAATCAGATCTATGAGATTAAAGAGAGTGAATATACATTCACGCACATAACAACAAAATTATACACATAACACGTATTTCGTATAAAATACTTCATAATTATGCGTTTAGAAGAAAGTAACTACACACTCACTTGATCAGAAGATGATCAGACAGCACTACGGCTTGTAGAAGTAGTAATCCTCAGCAGATCTGGAAGATCTCTACAAAATTCGAACTTCTCGTGGGCAGAGCTTCGGCTCAGAAACCGCACTTCTCGGGATCTTCGGGATCTCGGGACTTGCTTCGGGGCTCGGGAATGATACCGGGGCTTCGGGGGTAAAAATGCAGAGCTTCGGCACGAAATGGAGGAGAAATGAGCAATTATGCCCGGACTCCTCGCATCCTATTTATAGGAGGCTGGAACCTCCTAGTACGCGGGGCGTACATGCCTCCGAAATCGTCACTGCATGCGTCATCCGAAGTGTCGACACTCTTCGCTGTACGCGGGGCGTACTCCGGATGAGTCCGGTGACTCGCCTCCGGATAATACCGAGGTTTAATAATTAATTTTAATTATTAATTATTTAATAAATTTCGAAAATTCATATCTTCCTCATACGAACTCCGTTTTCGACGTTCTTTATATCCACGCGAATGTGAGATTATGCTCTACAACTTTCGTTTAGACTCCGTCGGCTAATTTTGACTATTTTTAGTATTTTTTTTAATAGGCCGGGACAGAAAATTTCGTTATAAATTCATAACTTCTTCGTTTGACGTCCGTTCTCGCCTAACCTTTTATCGCTTTGATACTAACAATGAGATCTTCGATTCTCATTTAGATCACTAAGGCTAACTATCGCTCTAACGTAAATTTCACTTTTTACGTCATTCAGCGTTGCCGGTTCTGTCGCGAAACTTCGACAGGTCATAACTTCCTCGTTATAACTCGGATTTCGGCATTCTTTATATCTTCGGAAACCTTGTTTCAACTACTACAACATTATCTGAAGATATCAAGTTTATTTTACACTTAAATTTTGACGCTTATTTTTATTCTTAATTCATCAAACCACATAATTAAGCAATTAAGCACAAAACATATAATACTCAAATAATGCACTTCTATTATTTTAAAACGGGTTACAAAGGTTAAACTAGACTATTACATTGCTAAAAATGGCAAGCCTAGAAATTGATATTTGTTTAGTCATCTGAATAGATCTTAATGGCAAAATTACCATTTTAACCTTCTAAGCTATTTTTTACATACAAATTAAACATCATAAAATATTAAAATTAGACACTAGACATCATATAAACATCCAAATTTGTTATATATGGATCCTTATATCATAATATAAAAAATTTATAATAATATCTCATAATATTTTCTTAAAAAAAGAGGATCATTATGGCTATTTTTGACATCCTCTCGGTATTAACATGTGGTGACATAAATCCCCAAATACTTCACCATTTCTTGCCATACACTCTCACAATATTTTCTCCCCTGACAAACGTCGACAATGAAGATTGGGTCAAGAGAATATCAACCCATATCACAAACTTCATACAACAACTAATTGAAATTATGAAGAACATCAAGAACAAAACACAAAAATCAAATTCATACAAACCACAAAAAAGAGAGCAACAAGAACACGATCAAAACACTAATTTCATCCAAATCGAGCAACAAAAACACAACTCAAACATTAATTTTGAACAAAAAACTAATTAGAAAAAAATTACCAGATAATAATAGGGAGGAGGTGAGGAAGGAGATGTCGAAGGCGAAATGGAGTAGCACTACCGGAGGCTGATAGGAGGAGGCTGCGATGAAGTCGGAGGCTAGCAGGGAAGCAGTTGACGCAGCTGGCAGGGAGGAAGTGGTCAATGTGAGAAAAGGGAGAATGACGGACGAGGTTTTGATGCGTAGCGGGGGGAGAAAGAAAAAAAGAGGCAGGCGTGTTATGTTAGGGCAAGGGTATTACAAGTCTTTTTTTCATCCAGACTCATTCTCACCTCTTCACGGTCTAGACTGTTTTTTTTTCCACATCTGACCAGTTAAGAGGGTAAAAATACTTTAACCAAACACTCTGAATCTGAACGATCCACAACTAGCCTCTTAATGGGATCAATAAGAGGAAAAACAAATAGCCCCTTATATCATTTTCATCCCTCTCCATCTCTCTCTCATTTTCTCTTTATTCTCTATCTTCTTTATCAATTCGGGCAATTATCTCCTAATAATCACCGTAGGCACCTTCACTAACCACCACCTGTCAACACCAAATTTGATACTATAACCAAAATTTAAAACTCAAACCCAAATTTGATACTAGAACCATAATCTAGTACTTATAATCAACACCAAATCCTAATCTAAAACCTTTAATCAACAATGATTTTGGAGATGAATTCCCAAAACCTAAAATCAGTCATGAAATCCCTACATCCATGCCAAATTTAGATGGACTGGGATGTAGAATCGAAACCCTAGATTTATGTCATATCTTCTTTGTCAGCTTTTGCAACCATCGTTTATCCCTACATCGATGCAAAATTTAGAGGGACTGGGATGTAGAATCGAAACCCTAGATTTGTGTCATATCTTCTTTCTCAGCTTTTGCAACCACCGTTTATCATCACCAAAGAAAAGAGAATGGTTGAAATTTAGATATGCAAATGAAGTATATACATATGAAATCTAGATATAAAAGGGTTGTTGATAACATTCCCTAAATCACATATTTCCCCATTGTTGTCCTTCAATAAAGTACATGTATCAATCCTTTTGTAACAAATTTCATCCAAATCCACTCAAACCCACACCAATGGTGCACTAGGGCTTCTGCTAGTTAGTTATTATATAACACATTTGGTGGTATTTTTACATGTTTTATATATTTATTAAATATAATGGTTTGGTTTGGTTTTTTATGGGGCAATTTTAAAATAAAACCAAAATTGAACTATTTGCATTTGGTTAATAGAAATCAAAAACCAAATCTTCATTTTTAGTAATGATTCGGTTATATCGTTTAAATTGGCTACTGTTTGATCTTTCGGCTTTTTATGATCACACCTAAAAAAACGTTAGACTTATTTGATAAATATGTCTTTATATTGATTGTGATTAACCTTGTATGTACAGTTTTAAACAATTTAAATTGTTTTGAATATTTTTTATATATGCTTCAAAATTAAATATATTTCAATATTATAAGAGTAAATTTTATGCTTTCAAGAGTTCTAGAATGCATGAACCCTTTTTAAATTCGAAAATGATGTGGACAATATCATAATATTAGACTTAGAATCCAAAACAACCTACGAATACTCAGCCTCTTGCATATATGCACAACATCATGTTTTATATCTACATTCTCAAGCAACCATAAAAACTTATATGCTTTTGGACAATATAAATCGGTAAAATGAGTATTATATCCGATCACATAAATCATATATACTTGTAATATCGGAAACCTTTGTGAAAGGCGATCTCAAAGCTAGCTCAAAGCTTCTTCGATGACTTGGTGGCGAAAGTGAGGTTTGCTGTAGCTCATAGGCTCATGAAGACTGGTTCACCAAATTAAATGAAGTGATTCTAGTACTTTTAGCTGGTGGGCTCACGAAAACGGGCTGACCAAAGGGAATTTAATGCACGGAGACGTTGAAAGTACTCCCCTAATGCGAGCAACCCTCTCGCAGCTTGATGTGCGGTTAAAATTCGAGACATTTGTTGCAACACTTGTTGTCGTAGGTGATCCGCCTGCATGCGATATTGCTTCCATTGTGAGCGGAGCACAAAAAGTTGTAACTACTTTTAATATTTGACTTTAAAAGTCTCATATGAGTTGAATATAATTAATGTCTAATTAAGGTAGCATTATTTAGTTAATTACCTGGTTCAAGAAATTCTCGATTCCTTCAAGCCTCTCCATTGCTAAAGTCATTTGTGCATTGTAACTTCCAACTCCAGTTATGTCGATAGTGATACCCTGAGCAAGGTTCTGTTGAAGCTTTTCCATTCCTAGACTCAATGCATCCTCGGCTTGTTTACAAGAGTGTTTCAGAGTCGAGACGCTCATCAGTTGTGCATTCGATAAAGGCTCAAGTTGTGGCATTAGTATCTACATACCCACACATGAGAAAAGAACAAATCGCTGTATATTATGCCCTCTTATATTTTCCATGCTATAATTATATAAGCTACAAAAGGGTATTTTTGGAGCTCTATATATACGTCCAAAAGTGAATTGTGATATTTTTGGGAAGAAACGAGTAACAAGGTCTTACGTATAGGAGCTCTGATGGTCGTGGACCTCCAAGCCACTGAAAGAACCTTTCGAGGGGTGTTCTCCACAACCCATTCATCGTATAAAACACATCAGCTTTTGCAGCATTAGCTTTCAATTGGAAAAGCTCATAGTAGTGGTTCAAGCCACTGTCTACGAATATACGAAGCTCTAATTCGCTTACATGACTTTGCAACACGTCTTTAAGTTCATTGTCCTTTTTTTGCTGCTCGGCAACCCACAAATCATATGCCATCTCAAATGCAGCGATACCTATACCAATTACAATTAGTAGTCCAGATTAATTAAAACCTTAATTTTACTTTGATTAATTTAATAGACGATCCATTAATGGATTGTATATACGTACTCATGTACAACATATATAATTAATTAAGTCATGTACCTGGATTGACATTATTGGGTAACAGACCATTGCTTGTATTCAGTAAACCACCGTACACACGCTGCAATCAATCAACCAACCACCAAGAGTTGATGGAAATGAATGACCAAAAGATTATAAAAGAAGCAAAAGTGGAAAAGCTTTTTGAGTGAAATTTTGGTTCACCTGCTGTCGAGCTCTCTCGAGCTCCTGCTCCAACTGTGCCAACTTTAAACGACCAGTTTCCAATTGTTGAACGTAGGCCTATGTAGAAACTATATATGAATATTTGGCTAACTCCACGATAGTTTCCAATAAAAATTTGCGTTTCCAAGAAAAAAAAATAGAAGTGGAAGATCCAAATGTAACACACTCAAAGTGAACATCATGGACAAACCTTTTTCCTCAAACGGCTTTTACGTGCAGCTTCACGGTTTTGCGCTAGCCTTCTTTGCAACTGTACGTAGTTAGATCGTAAGTGAATATATATATATATATATATTATATATATATATATATATATATATATATATATATATATATATATATATATATATATATATATATATATATATATATATATATATATATATATAATATATATATATATTATATATATATATCTTATGTACACACATATATAACAAAAACAAGAGGAGAAAATGAAGGAATGTAT